TCACCAGGAAAATCGACCATTATTGACTGGTTTGCTGATTTTAAACGTGGTCGTACAAATGTTGAAGATGCGCCACGCTCTGGACGTCCTAAAGATGTGGTTAATCCGGAAAACATAATAAAAGTCCACAAAATTGTTATAGAAAACCGCAAAGTGAAGTTGCATGACATAGCTGATACTCTAAATATATCAAAAGAGCGTGTAGGCTTTATTTTGCACGAACATTTGTTTATGAGAAATCTGTTTTCGAAGTGGGTGCCGCGTGTGCTAGCAGTTGACCAAAAACCAATTGATGATTCCGAGAACTGTGTGACGTTGTGTCAGACACCCCCTATTCACCCGCACCCACCCTATTCTCCAGATTTGGCTCCTAGTGACTTCTACTTGTTTGCAGACTTAAAATGCTCGCGGTTATGAGATTCAGCACGAATGAGGATGTGATTGCCGAAACAAATGCTTATTTTGAGGTCAAAGATGGTTCTTTTTTTAAGAAAGGTATATAGATGTTAGAGAGGCAATGGAGTGATTGTATATCTCTGAAAGGAGACTATGTTGATGAATAAATTTGAATTTTACTGAAAAAGTTGTGTTTACTTTATTAGGCCGGGAACTTATCAGCCGATGTGTTATAATATAAATTCGACGATTGGATAAATTAGACTATATATAATATAAATTTTACGATATATCATATAAATATAGAATATTTATTACATCAGGTATTATATTAGTATATTATAATAATTCGACCAAATTATTAGACACACTGTAGTGTTTTAATAATTCCAGGTTTTGCACGAGTTTATATGCAATACTTTTATATTTAAACATACATGCAATGCGTTTTTATTAGGTTTTATTTGATATACGAACATTAACTAGTGCAAACCGGTTTCTATCGCATAAAAACAATAAAGCTGTATAGTATCACCTGATAATTATGTATAATCTTGTAGTGCGTCTAATAATTTGTCCAGGAACCGTATATAGATCAACCAAATGGTTGTAATAATAATAAAGATATAATAAGAGATAAAATTTATATGGCTTAAATCATGGTGTTTTAAAAATTTCTTAATTTTATTCTAAAATTAAATTTCAAAGAATTTGTTGATGATCCGTGCATATTTGAAATAAATTCTAATAATGGGAGAATTTTAATAGCTTTTATATGAAGTAAATTATTTGTAATGAATGTCAGGAAAATTGTCTGAATCTTCTATTGAATTGTTGTTAAAGCAAGAATCACTTTTAACATAGGCCAACTCTACCTAAATCTAGCTTTATTAAATTGTTGTTGTTGTTCATTTACGTCGCACTAGAGCTGCACAATGGGCTATTGGCGACGGTCTGGGAAACATCCCTGAGGATGATCCGGAGGCATGCCATCACAATTTTGATCNGGATGGCACCCCCGCTTCGGTAGCCCGACGACCTGCACGCGAAGTCGAGCACTTTACGGTAGCACAGTTTACGAGGACCAATACCGCACACCCTCGGTCCCTACGCAGACTGATCCAAGGGGTCACCCACCCGCACACTGACCGCAGCCAGTGATGCTTGACTGCGGTAATCTGATGGGAACCGTGTCTTAACGATCAGTCCAATGCGGGACTAGCTTTATTAAAAGAAATACTTTTGTATCGAGAATTAATTGGTCCTTTATTATTCTAGGCCTAATGTTATATTTGCCGTTAATTGTTAAATTCATGAACTGATTTAAC